CCATACTGTAATCCTTAGTGCATTTATCATAATGTCAAATGGGATCATTTTCACTTGAAATCATTAGTAACATTCCCCAACTAAACTTTATCTGCTTATGATAATCTAATTTTAAATTGTCAGTATTATGAACATGTTTTCATTTATGTGGAATATTGAAACTTGACATTAACTTATTGTTAAATCATTGGGTAATATGAATGATCACTGAAAAAGGCTATTACAATGTACCACCAATGCAATGCAATTATCTCAGCATCTGTATACATATGTGAAGCTAAATATCTTTTCTTCAACCGGTTTCATATTTCTTCAGACTAATGTCAATCGTATCTTTGTTACAGATTTTTTTTGTGAAACAACCTTTTTACACTTCCTGTATCAAATAACATAACCTTATTTTTTTTGTAATCAACAGTATTTTATTACTGGTGATGTTTTATTATTCAGAGCATATTTTATGAAAGTTAAAACAGTTTTGGCTAGTACTAATGTTTTAAACTTATTTTAATATGAAAAAATCGTCCTATGTTTCTAGTTAGATAGAAAAAAATTGATGAGCATCAGTTCAAGACAATATAAATATGGCAATAAATAGTAAACTAGTTAAATATAAAACAACTAGATATGTTCTTTTATTAACAAGGGCAGCAATAAACTTTTTTTCACTTTTAAGAATTGTTTAAATCATGAACTAACATTGGCTTCAAAACTAATAAAAACTGAGAATCACTGAACATTGGCTTCAATGACAAATGAAACTCTGTAGATTTGGGGATAATCAATACTACATGAAGACGAACCTAATCTATTGAATTATAAAAAATGTACCCGGTTCAACAATATACACATGTCATTATGACAGTTGATTATACTGACACGACATTGCTCAGTTAGCTTTTGATGTCAGATGGTTAGATCTGATCTGTAGAATGGCCTGGATCAAGGTATAATAATTATTATTGAAGTATATTTGCTATCCTAATGAACCTGATATTCTTCATAGAATATGAAAACAGAAGTTTAGCTAAACTCGAGAACTAGCTGTTACTAGTTTGTGATAAACATCATCTCTGAATTTAACTATTTTATCTTCACTAACTAAACAATTAGATAATGAATACTTTTGAACATAGTGGTATGAATTAAACGTTTTGTATCTTCTGATCAAATATATGAAACTTTTGGTTGATAAGAAGCAAATCAGATTAAGTCCTGTGTTTGGTTAAATATGCTAGACAAAAGAAATTTTCAACTTGAAATTTTGTCATGATGAGAAAATATGTAATTATTTCAGAGGCTTGTATTTTAGACAAAAAATTACCTTTGTTTTACTTAACATTGTGAGATTATTGCAACACCAAAATCTATCATAGCTCTCTCTATATAACTACTCTACATATAATGACTATGAATTTAAATTAGATTGCCAAAAAGCAATCGTGCTTGATGTTTTCGTTGTTACAACTAACGTGAATTCAAATTAACAAATCAAATCAATGAGGATTAAAATGGTTTATTCTCAACATCCTCAAATAATTTCTTATCGTTCTTATTTTTATAGAGTGAAAAATCGATCATTTATCAATTTATTATTAGTACACTTATTGTTATTATTATTAGTGTCTGTACCAAATATTGTATATTTAGTACAAGAGGAAATTCTCAGTACATCATATATTTGGATTTAATGTATCTCAAATCAATTAACAACATAAACGATGTCTATGTAGATTTTGATAAGATCAGTTGTTTAAAGTCAACAACAGCTGTCTTTAAGTTGATATTCGAACTTATATAGTTCCATGTAGTTAAATAACTCATTATGACAATCCCTTCTACCTTGTATAGAAAATAAATTTAATTTCAGCCATCAACAGAACAGTTATTCATGTTAGTTCATATATAAATAAAACAACGAGTATTTCAAGTCTTTTTATTTCCTTTCACACTAAATTAATTCTCATTCATTTGATTAAATACTGCATTTTCTTGATCTACTATGTAGGTGTATTTAATTCTCCCTCAACTACATCAAACTAAAACAGTCCTCATAGTTTTTCCAAGTACTTTATAAACTCACTTTTTAGTTGATTCTTAAATTAATAGTAGTAAAATGTTCATTCATAAAACGTAATTGTCGGTGTAATTTCTAAAGTAATAAATCTATTCTCGTAGAATAGTGAGATGAAGTGGAGCAATCCCGCACTGAAGTCATGTGTAAATTATCGTATTACATAGCCAGTTAAGTAAACTTGAAAGTTTTGATTGTTTATTCCACGAGCGTGATCCGGGTTCATCATTAAAACTTTAAGCCCCTGTTGATGTTTATGCCAGGATCGGGGGTGAAAAATACTACGGAGTTTGATACTAAAATGTGAGTTACTGAATACTCTTTAAGATTCCGTGGTTTGATAACCAATTTTAATCTCAAAAGAGGACGATCGTTAAAACTAACCTCTTTAATCGTATTTACTAAACCGTTCATTCACTGGGAAATTATACATTGATTAAACATAATGATCACTACTAAATATAATACGAATTATCATTAAACTTGATGAAGCGGATGCATATAAACCTTCTTCCTAAAACATGAGATTTATGAATATGAAAAATAATCCATAGTTTAGATTTAAAAAAACATCATCATCGAGATATCTATTATAAGCAAGTTTTAAATACCTTTTAACTCAAGTTGATTTTCTTTCATTTCCCGTTTCCTAAACACCAATTAGTGGCTTGATAAAATTGAATTACTCCTAACAGTGAATATCAAAGCATTTATTCATCAAAAAGTACATAAAATGTCTTTCATTCAAAAAAGTAAAAACGTTTGACAATTTGAAGTTAATGTATGAAAAAAATCTAATTTCGAAAATGATTTTTCCTAACAAATTCACTGTGTATAATATTATCTAATAGTTACCTTCAAAAAAGAAAAGTAATCGGAACATATGACATAACTGTTGTGGTTATTCTGACATAAATGTTTGTTATTGAAAACAAAAATAGTTCACGTGATTTAACGAGGAATATTCACTAAATTACGGTGACATATTCAACTGTTGAATATAAATATCCTAAAGCTGGTTTATTTCAATGTTAAGAAACAAGTAACCCAAATATTCAAACAGGTCATCACATGAAGCATTTCTCTGCCGGATTGCAATTAATTTTTTTTCAAAATTCGCATTCAATAAACACGTTGTTTCTGACACCTTTTTATTGTCTTAATATTGTAAACTTTTATAAAACTCAGTATTTTTTCTAATCACAAACTATTGAAAATTTGTCGTAAACCAGTTATTTAGTTTTGTATTACAGAAGTTTGATTTCTGTAAAAAAAATGGTGGTGTATTAATTATAGGATGTGATGTATTCTTGTATTTTAAGTGAATAATCTTGGAATAATATGAGTTACTTTTATAGCAACTCATGTACATTTGATTTTGTATACATTTAATCTGGTTTGATTGGCTTATTTAACGGACAGTCATATTGTAGTGAACGAGAACACAAGTGAGGGCAACCGAATTGTATTTAACGAAAATTACAGAGTTACTCAGTAAAATCGGAAAACCACATCGTAAATCGTTAATTTGCAAAATATCAGTTCATCATATCGAACTGGACTGTTCCTGTTGCAAAACATCAATCCATTGTCACTATTCATGCGTTTCATACAAATTCCATTGTTTTCTAACTCTTCCTTTCTTGATCTTCCCCCATATTATGCTGCCAGACATTACGTTGACACTCACGTCATATACTACTTATAAGTAACTCGCACCACAATATGTCTAGCAACGACTTATCTGCACCGTTGTACTTTTATTTTTGTTGCGTCTGTATGAGCAGGTATGATTGAACGTTGTTTGCCGCCTTCACACATATTCATCCTACTCGCTTTAATGTTATCCGTTTAAATAATCCGATGACTCATTCGTTTTCCTTTGTCTAATTACGTACATTTTAATCCTATTCAGTGGCGCTCTCACTGTCTGGCTCAATTGCTATTCAGCACCCTCAAGTCATTTTCACTTTCTTTTTGTATGTCTGTAGTTTTGTTATGTGATGGTGCGATAACAAACGTATTCAGCGGTTCGTAGTCGTCTTCTGATCTATACACCGTTGGACGTTATCTGGTAACGGTTATGAGGACGAGCATTATATGGATTTCAGGAATAACTCGAATACAGACAGCTACAGAGCTTGTGAGCCCACACTTAACTTATCTGTCAGGTGTTCTGATTGGTGAATGATAGTGTGTCAAAATTGTATCTAGACAACAAGGCGTTAGATCCCAAGAGCTCACTTGATAAAAGCCCCAATTTTGGATTTTTTGTTTAAGCGCATAGGCTGATCAGTTGAACTTGAGACTACATTTCCCATCCGAGAATCCTTGGGTGTTATTGGTTGCTGTATTATTTCAGTACGCTATTTTTGTGGCTCTCCCAAGGATGTTTCTATAATGTTTAAATAAACTCGATTTGTGTGCTTGAGAACCTTGGCTTCTGGGTGCTTGTAGAATACACTTTCTACGTCTTGTCAAGACTTCTTCCTCGAATTAGTGGGGCCTTGGGACGCTTGGATTATAGTAGGCTATCGTGTCACTGGATCATTTGTCTTCGCTCTCGTTTACCGACTAGGGTGAACTTGTAATAATTTCAGGCATATCAATACAGTAATCATGTAAGTGACCATAACACAGTTGATGTTATCTAGCTAAATTCAGTTCATAATATAAACTATCTTGAAACAAAAAATGTTTTCACAGTTCTGAATAGCATTTGCCCACATAAACTCTAATGTAACCTTTCACTTTTCTTTCAACGTTTAGATAGGGAGAATAATACACTAACTATTATAGTGCTGTTTTTCTCAATCTGCTAGTATTTAATATGATACCGAATGCTAATTAGATCATATACTTTTTTTCACTAGGATAATTTTACTAAATATCTATTCTGTTTGTTCGATCTACTTTATTTGTTTAGATGATGAACTTAATTATACCAAACGCGATTCTAGACTATCCAATAGTCAAATTCAAACTAACAACAATAGAAACAAAATCATATCTCATCCAATATCTCGTTCAATGACAAAATTGAATTCTTTAACACCAGAAGATGTGATAAATGGTGATAATTTTGAAAATCGTCCCAGTTCAGCTAAAGATGCAACTATTAATGATGTACAGTCTAAATCAGTGAAAGATAATATTTCTACTACATCCATTTATAAAGGAAATAATAGTAAAACTACTAAAACACAATCAACCACAGATTATTTAAATTTAGATAATAATATTAATAGTTCTGATAAATTAGGTTCAATTAAATATACATCAATTGAATCTAATCCAGAAATGATGCTCATGAATATAACCAATACATTAGGACAACCAATTTCGATAATTACTAATCCAATACAAATTGATACATTACAAATGCCCAATGAAGATGTTATGAATATTGATCGAAGTGGAACAGTTTCATCAGCGGTATCATTGACAACAACAGCGGCAGCAGCAGCATCGACAGTGACAATAACAACAACAACAGGACTAACAACTAACTACATTCCAAATCCAGACTCATATTTAACAACTCCGACTACGTTCTTTTATTTTTATAACAATGAAGGACAGTTATTTGCACTGCCAAGTAATGCACTAATTTTTCCTACTACTGTTGGTCGTCTTGGCACAACAACTGCATCGAATGAGATAACATATAATAATAATAGTCCATCAACATTTATTACTCCACAAGTTAATGGTAATACTAGTAATAACAATTATTGTAATAATTCTTCTACTAATCGTACTACAAGTTGTGTTTCTAGTTATGAAGTTCCAGACCAATTGTATTCAGGTGCCAATTATAATACTATCATTAAACAGACTGATAATAATCAATGTCGTGAACTTATACCAGGTTATACAGTGCCTATACAACCTTCATTTCTGAATGGATTTCATCAATGGGTACCTGGTCAAATTACTTTAGACAATCAAACAGGAGTTCAACAACTTCAAAACTCTTCAACTAATTCGTTAATGATACCATCAAATCAAAGTGTCATTTTACATCCATCATGTCCATTTCCTTTACCTTCAGTAGGATTAATTCAACCATTGATATCAAATATTTATTCGAATCAAAATTTCAATTCTACACCTACTTCAAATGATAACACTAACAATAACAATAATAATAATCGTAATAGTTCATCTAAACAAAAAAATAATCAATCGAACATTAATTCACTAATGAATCGTTCTACAGATCAATTTAAATTACGTCGTATCACTAATGATCTACCAAGTTTATTAGGCAATGCTAAATCAACACGTTCAGGATTGACTTCTGGAAAAATAATCAATTCTAGTAATAATCATTCGGGAAAATATTCTGGAAAAGGTTTAATATCTAATTTCTTAGATGATTATAACAATGCACTGAATAATCAAACTGCTGCTAATCGTCAGAAAAAAGTAAGTTCATTTACTATCTATCATTCAATGGTCAATTGCTTGTGTACGTTCGATCAAATAAATTTTTAGTTTAAACATTGACAAAAAAAACTTTTTTTTCATGGAACATTCACATAGTTAGTCAAAGTTATTAATCAAAAATGTTAACTTGGAAATAAATCATAAATAAATTTATCTAACATTTTCAAAATTCATGCAATTTTTATTTAACTTGCTTACCGAAATGATTTCTCACTCATTCAATAAATTAGTTATTCATACGACTAGTTTGTAGTATAAGATGGTAATTAATTTAGCGCCTTCTTGGATTATTTGAATGATTTGTTTTTCAATATTCCAACATTTTTAAAAGTACGTGTCGTTTACATAATTTATCATATATTTGATTGTTACTAGTACTTTTGTAATGAATGTATACTGTAACACTTGATAAGATAAGTGATTTATTTGAAGCAGACAGTTTACTGACCAAAATGTGTACACCTTATTTCAAAATGTCCATGGAAAAAACAATCTGACTATCACATGTCTTTTACTTTTCGAAGAATTCTGACGCCGTCACTCTAAGTTTCAGCAGTATCTTCAGGTTCAGACTTCGTTGAATTTGCACTACAGACTACGTATAAGCCATGTTGTAAGTAGTATATACATCACTATGACCCAGAACACATTATTCAACAAAAAATTCTCTTTCAATCACAAAAACTTGCTGTTATGTGGATACATCTAAGTAGCCAGCTTAATACAAGATATGACTTGCTTTAACCACTCTAATATTGAACGCTGTGTTATTCTATTGTTCCAACAAGCTATGAAACGCTGTTTACATCGTTTTTCTATGTGTCAACAAGGATTCAACGTTTTACGCCAAACCAAAACATGGCAGAAATCCATGAAGTCATTGACAAGTGGACTGAGTCATGTCGGTAGTTGTCGACTACCGGGTTGGGGTCCGCGAGATGATAATAATCGATGGTTAGAGACCCTGAATGACATGGCTCAAAACCGTTTGCAATGGTGCTGGTGCACTTATACTTTGTGTTCTCTCAAATCCTAATCTTCTGGATTCTTCAACCCCTCTAGTTTTGACTTTTTAAACTTTTCTCACTGAATCATATTTCCTGAATATCTTCTCATCCTAACCTTTCCGATTATTTCTTATACCTTTACTACCTCTTCTACTATTGGATTTGAATTGACAATTATATCTCTGTGCTGATGTGGTATGGCGACATGAACTGATGTACTTACGTACGAAGTTGTATGTTGCATCTGACTGACTGACTGACTGACACATTTATTTTCTTGTTTAAACAAAAAACCATTGTGTAATAAGTAAGTTATTCACAACGAAGTCTAAGTAGTGACAAGCATCAACAAATAGAAAAACACTTTATACCGCTGAAATGTATGACATTTTCATAATTAGACTGAACAGTTTTGATCACTGGACAATTACTTATTTTAAGTAGTCTGTTTGTGATATATTATGTTCGTCGATTCAGCATATAGAGTCAATAATTATCTGTATATACAATGAAAGACTGAATTTTAGAAATATGTTGTCACAACTATTTTCCTGATATCAATGTTCACTTTCGAATACTAAAAGTTTTAATTACCATATTTGAAATTATATGTAACTAATATATATATCTATTTGTTATTGTCATATTTTCAGACATGATATTATAAACATTTTTGGAAATTTTTCTATTTTTCCATGTATATAGCATGCATCTAAGACAAATTTATATATTCGTGGATTGCCAACTTCATTCACGGAAGAAGAATTACATACACTAGCACCAGATCGTAAATTGATACGATCGGTTAAATTAATAGCTGGATCTGAAGGGGAAAGTAAGATTATCTGATAATATCTTTTTCTATTGCACATAAAAACACACTTCCTGTTAGTTTCTATACTGTGTCATTTTTGAAAAATGAATCTAAAAATTTTACTCTAACAGTATGAATTCTTTAGATAGAACTATACAAATATAATTGTTATGCTTGATTAACTATGAATAGTCATTGAAATTTACTGACTTGAATGATACGGTTAAATTAAGAAAAACCAAATTTTTATGAAGAATATTTTACTGTTATTGAATTATGAACACATTTTAAATTTATGTGAATTGTAAAGAACATTGTGAAATTGACAGATTTTATTCGTGTTTACGAAATTAGCCTAAATTATTTTCAACGATTATAATTGTTGGATTTGGTAAGCTTTCATGTACATCCCTGATGATCATTTTATTTCAGGAAATATAAAATACATACTTTTCTTGAGATTAATATAGTCTTGTACTGAATAAAATACTCATACAATCTTGCGTGTGTTCAATTTTAAGAATCATCTTTCTTCTTCTTCTTACCCCTGTAAACCTCAACGGAGCATAGACAGCCGACCATTATGGTTAGCACTGTTTTTTAGTGAGTTAGTTTTCTACAGGATGGGGTTCCTAATCCCATGTTCAATCCTTCTGCTTTAAACGGGCTTGGGTACGACAGTAATATATACTGAAAACCACGCAGAAATTAAACTGATTTCTAATCCCTCATGACACCGGATAACAAAACTAAATTCAGTCTGAATAGAACTAAAGCTATTCAAAAAAGATTAGGTTTTTTTCAATTAGAATTTGTTGATTATAAAAAAAATTACTATTCCGACAAATGACTTGACAATAATTGACCAAAGTCAATTCATTTATCATTTCTGAGAAAAAATATGAAATCCTGTTCAACGAAAATTTTTCCAATGTATTTCACATCCAAAAGATTACCAATGGAAGAGATAGTGATAATTTTATAGTTTATTGACTTTGCTCACATAATATAAAGATACCTGAATGAATTCAGTTGAATTTTTACACATGTACATGTACAAAAAACAGTATGTTTAATATTTCATATAATTCTATCAACTACACTGCTAATAAATGATGTCTTAATTTTGTTAGTCTCTCTGTGTTAATGAGGTATGGCAACATGAATTGATGTACACACGTACGAAGTTCTACATGGTAACTGATTGGCCGACTGACACAGGCGTCAATTATGGTTCATACTTAAGCCCATTAACCATTCTAATACGATGACGACTATGTGCAGTTAATATTTTGTTACTTTTCAAGAAACAGATCATGTGAAATGTTTTAGTACTCTCAGAAAATATTCTCTAGAAAACTTTAATTCCTAAATGGTAGAATTATCCCAAAAGCTTAAATGCATCATCTTTACGACTGATCATATCATAAAGCAATGATAATTTACATCGATGTTAAAGAAAAAAATTGTTTTAGTTTAAAACATTCATAAAAAAATATCAGGAGCTTGATTTAACTTGTTATTATCTGTAAATTCAATAATATTTATCAAATTTTTTTCTCGTTCATATTTTCAGTGTATGGATTCATAGACTTTGTGAATAATGAAGCGGCTAAATCTGCTTTGTTGCATATCAAATCGGGAAATCGTGAATTATATGTAAATTTCGCTTACGTAAGTTCATTTTTATCAGAATAATTCATGTTTCCTTTTAAAATAAAAAATGAATTATTTATATTCTGGTTTGATCAAGCTATAAGATTGATTTTAAATTTTTCAATTAGAGTTATGTAGATCAGTGTTTGTCGCACATTGAAATCATCAGTCATTCATTGTTAGAACACCGTTAGAAATCTGGAAGCACTGGACTGCCGCTTCGTCCTGGTATGGGATTCATCAGTAATGCGCATCCACTACTCCTGCACATCACAGAATTCAAACCCACGACTTCCGTTCTTGCGCGCCAACGCCTAACCTCTGTACTACTGGGCAGGCATCCAATGATTTTTTCAATGTTAAAGCGTTTTTTTCTGTACATCGTTTAACTGAGCATAACTATTCATTTGACATACTCTAATATGCATCATTTCAATGAAACTCAACAATCTTTTATAATAAAAATCATAAATTAATAGACCGACAAAAATGACTTTATTGAAATTTCAAAATATCAGTTTATGTTTTAGGAAAAAACATATTATTGTAATGATTTAAATTATGTTTAAATCTCAAAGCATTTTGTTTAGTGTGATTAATTACCTTTGAAATCTGTTAAAACTACATATATGCTGTTTTGTCTCTATTCGTTCCAGGTAAATTTCAGACTAACACATTCAGTATATCTAATTTCTATAGTTTAAATCAATTATTTTGAGGAATTCACTCTCACACTGAACTAGTAATTATATCTAGTCAACTTACAAAAACGTTGCACACCAAAATAAATTGACGATGGACTTTGATGATTAGAAACGTTTTCTTTAACTGTACGAAACAGAAACACCCTATTTGTTTATTTATAGCAATTATTCTTAGTGAATTCGATACGATAAAACTTTCGCCTACTTCCGTTTATCACAATATTATCACATTCTTCTTTTTTTGTTATTTTGGACTGATTATTTCTATTGAATTCTTTTTCGACATCTTAGTGCCTGGAATCATATCAGTTTAAATCTAAAAGAATTCGACCTATTATCAGAGTTGATGATTTTAATCGTCAAGCTTATGATAGGATATATATAGAAGTAATATTTTAAGAGACAGGAATTTTCAATCCAATCATACTAGAAACTAGTATATATAAATGAATTAAAAGACTAGATTATAAAAAGTGTTACACAATTTACTAAATAAGTCAATTGATACATTTTAGATCTGCCTGTATGTTTTTTTCAATGGTTTGTTCGTAGTCATTAAATTCAAAACAAACAAACAAGGTAGGGTCGAATTTTTACTGCTATTTTCATTAAATGCAATGATGAATTCATGCTTCCCAATTGTTCTCTTGGATGTAACCAATTTAGCAGTGAAGAGGAATGGACGCTAAGTAATAATTTCCAACCTAAACACTGAAATTACAATTATGGACTACATTTGATAACTTCAAAGCCTAGATAGTCTTTAAAGTCCAAATGCAATGAGTTAAAGGTGCATTCAAACTTTAAGATTAAAAGAATTAGCAAGGTCATATTAATTAATGGCTTATCAAAGTAGTAAAAAAAATTAAAATTGAATGTTTCAAAGTTAGCTCACCATAAATGAAATAGCAAAGCTCATGTTCACTTATAACTCATTAGTACAAACAGAAAAAAATGTAAAGATTCACTGGAATATGAATGACTCATTAGAACCAAAATGTCATTCATATAAGAAAAACATTCAGGAAGGGAAGAATCAATAATCCAAACGGATGAGCTTGTATGTTTAAAAACAGAAGGCTCATTTGTCAGTGTATAATATATTCATATAGAATAAATTATTTCAAGTGGATAAATTATATCATATACATCATATTGAAAGAAAACAACTTTGTCATATTGATCAATAAAAGAATTTGTTTTGATGCAATAACACTGAAATATTCCATATACTTTCATGTAGCTAATCATCATTTGAAATGTATGGCAGGAATTAGATCAGTGATCGGATTATCCACACAACTGATATTTCACTACCCTTCTACATTTCATGTATTACTGTTCAAAATGATTTACAAAATGTATATATATATATATATATATATATATATATATATATATATATATATATATATATATATATATATATATATATATGTAGCTATGACGGTTAAGGGCATGAGAAGGAATATTTTCTGACAATAAAGGATTATCACAATCACACAATCAATTTTTAGACACTCAAGTTTTAACCTATTTACATAATTTAATTTATTGTAATCATTCTAAAGAAAAAAAATTTTTTCTTTTTGCCTTTTTTTATTTCTATTTCTTTTTACTTCTCCTCTTCTACTTGTTTATGCATTCATTTCCTTTGTTGATTCATTCATTGTCTTTTCGTTGTTGTTTATCTATGAATAATATCTCGTTTATTTTTTTCTCTCTTTCTCTCTGTTTCTCTTCAAAACAATAAAATGCTTACTGAACTATGTACATTATCATAATGAAAATCTTGATCTAAGCAAAAGATTAAAAAACTTCCTGAAGTTGCTTTCAGTTCAACAAGTAAACTATTGATTCGAATAAAAAAAACGAAGTTTTCTCATAGTGTTTTTTTATTATTCGAATTAGGAAGAAAAGAAATGCTTAATAACTAGTTAAGAGGCATGATTATTATTGTGTGTATGTAAATCAGCTGAAATAAGACGATCATATTTCGTCTCAACAACATACACCGTTAAGCTACACAGTGATTTGAATTGGTCACCAAAAAATCTATCAAAGATGAAAGTAATCAATAAACTAAATGATTACTGTGAATAGTGAACATATTCCTGTCTATCATAGTTTATTCATCTGTATTCTTACTATATACAATGCTTATCTTTCAACATTTTCTCGGAATCCGTCCATCAAAATATTATTTAAAAGATCGATATCATTAAAGCTTTGCATTGAATGCTACTCTTTTAGTATGTTTTGTAGTCAGTGAGCTTGTGAATTTGAATTTGTTGTGATCTCGCAACCTTCTTGGTTGATAGTTGATGTTTATCCAAAATGATATGGGATAGGTACTATTGATAGCCATCTTATAGACGTTGCATTATACTTCTTATTGACTAAAGCATCAAATGACAAGATACCATAAAGATGTTAATGCAAATATCTGTCATATATATCGGGAAAGGGAGTGAGACAACAAAACAAACAGGAATCTGACAAAACCATTAACAGGTCTAATGTTAATACTTTCTTTACATCTGTAAACAATTCCATTCTGAATGAAAGAATTCAAAAGAAAATAAACTATGAAATTCCTTTATAAGGAATATCCTATTATAAATGTGGATTGATAAACTTTTCACCTAATCAACTAACTATTCTCTTGAATTTTTCCTTAATATTTTGTAACGTTTTAATCTTCGTTAAACACACTGATCTTTGTTAAAAAACCATTGAAAACTTGTATGCACCATATCACTGATTCATCATAGTATATGACTCCTCAAAGGTTCACATCTACATCTCCAAAAGGGTTTGAATTCCAGGACTGTCGTTCTGTTTAAGTCACTTTGTAACGAAATCGATGAAAATTCAACAACTGACACCATAAACCCTGTATTAACTTTATTTTAAGAGAGAAACAAAAGAACAGCAGTAAAGTGATCACTTGAAACAATCAAAAATCTTGATGAAAATTTATTCTATTTTGATGTTTGTGTGAAGATAATCTTCTCCTTCTTCTTCTTCTGATTTTTTCAATCATACTAGGAATCTGAAAAAGATCCACAAAATGTTTATATAACCAATATTCCTGAATCATGGACAGCATCGAACGTTGAAGATTTGAAACAAATTTTTCAACCTTATGGACCAATAGCAACTGCTATTGTAATGACGAAGAGATCAAACAATTTCTGTACAGGTATTAACAAGTGCTCTTTACTTTCATTATATTTCATGTTTTGCCGCTGTATTTAAAATAGCTTTCTTAGATTCTCCGAATTAAGGGTTTATTACTTAGAGGTCGTAGCTGCATTTCATCACTGATGGTCACACTGAGTAATTGGTGGATCTTATTAACCGATCTTCAGAAGACTGAAATATGAGACTTCAACTGCATTAATAACCAGTATAAAAGTTGTAGATTTAAGGTTTATCGTAACGTCTCTTCAAAAGAGTCATGTGTCAACAAAGACTTTAAATTCAGTCCTGAATATAAATCTTTCTTAATATTAGTATGATTTCATTACTTCTGTGATTCAGCATCTATGAACTTAGTTTGACTGAGGTTAAACACAGTATATAATTCATGATACGTCAGTATCACAATCGACTATTTATGAAGTCTTGATGTCAGTTTTGTAAGAAATTCCTATATTGTATCTATACTGTAATATGAATGATGAGCCTCAGATTTTTCATAAACTTCACCATAATTGTAGTTTATAGCCTACAAGCATGCATGAGTCAATGAAAAGAAAACGAATTTCGGCGGGTTTTCTAAGTTACTAAAGCAACATTAAGTTATGCTTTATTCGTTTGTGACGACTTTTGTTTGCTTTATTATTAAGTTAGCGATTCATTCAAATTTACAATTAGTCATTGAATAATCCGTTCCACTGATGCAATTTAGACTTGAAAAGGATATAAAAATTGGTCAAAGCTATTTTAATGTCATCTAGTTTCCAGTTGAGTGATTTTGCACTAGTTTTCCTGATTAGAAAAAAATATTTATACATAACTTTGACTTGATAAACATTGATTTTTTCTTCATAATTAGGTGCTGGATTCGTACGCTTTGTTCGTTCGGAAGATGCACAAAAAGCAATCGATGGAATTCGTAATGCACGAATCACATTAGAAAATGGTAAAGGACCATTAGAAGTTAAATTAGCTGATAGACAAAAACCATCAGACGATCAACCGAAGTAAGCATTTTTATGTATAGAATTTTAAAAATGTATTTGCTTTGTATGTAATTTTTGTAAAATACCATATAATATTGGCTGATTCATAAAACACGCAGAAAATTTGTTTCCAAGTTAAGTCATAAAATATGTCATGATTTGCTTAGAAACAGAATTGTTCAAACTAATTAGCATTCAGCTTGCAATTATTGGATAGCATTTCATAGATTTATAATACGTGATATGTTACTTATGGTTGAAATTTCAAACAAAAATCTTCCATTTCTTTCAGTAATTACATCTGACACTATTTAGGTTGTCATTGTTTTTGTAGTAGGTAATGTGAATTTTCACTAGAACGATAGTCAAAACTGTTTGATCAGCTAATATTTCCTTCCCCCCCACAACCCCAGTGAATGCAACCCTACCGTAAGTATAAACTTCTGCCCCAAAACAGAGAAATCTATCTTGTTCAATATAAATTATGTATACGATTAATCATAAAATGCTACAAAAATTCCATTAAACAAATTGGACTTTTTTACATGCATCAATCATTTATTTTATCATACGTCATTTTATTCATTTAAGTAGTTATCAATAGTGTATTAATTTCATATTATTTAAAATAAATAAAAATATCATTTCTTAAATTTAATATAGATATATATATATATCGTTTTATTCATTCATTTTCTCTTTCAATCTAAAATGAAATACACAGTTTCATCGGAATCATGAATCAATCATTGTTAGACCATCATTTGAAACATGGAAGCATTAGACTGCCGTTTCATCCTAATATGGCATTCATCAGCAGTGATTTATTCATGATTTCAATGAAACTCAACAATCTCCTTACCTCCATAATATCAGAATAAATCAAGAATTAATGAAGAAAAAATGGAACAAGAAACAAACCAAATTATTTCTTTAGATTATCAGAATTGTTAAACGATATATTTTGTTCTACATTAAGCATGATAACTTCATTGATATGTGAGTATGTCATATAATTAATACTCATGCAAAACTATACTCTTATTAAAGACAGATTCAATACAATATCCATTGTAAATGGATCATTTAGCAAAGTTGTATCAAAAAAAGAACTTATACAAGATGATAAAAATATCACGTATATACATTACTGAAACCATGAATCGATCAATGTTAGACCACCATTAGAAACCTGGAAGCACTGGACGGCCGTTTCATCCTGGTATGGATTTCTAACGGTCGTCTAACATTGATTTACTCATGATTTCAATAATGTAACTAGCTGGGTGAGGAATCTTCTCCGAGTTCTAGTGGGAAGTCTTGACCAGTGAAGTTCAAACCTGTTCGGATGTGTACAGTGTATGAGGTTGCTCAACTCCATGAATTTGATCAAGTTAGACATTAACACCGTTAGATACCGGCTCAGTGGTCTAACTGTTAGGGTGTTCGCGCACAATACCGAAGGTCCTGGGTTTGAATTCTGCGATGTGCAGGAGTCGTGGATACGCACTGCTGATCAGTCCCATACCAGGACGAAACGGTTGTCCAGTGCTTCCAGGTTTCTAATGGTGGTCTAACATTGATCAGTTCATGGTTTCAGTAATGTAACTTAATGATCTTCACAATAACCCCGCAATGTATATACATGTAAAAAGTCACTTTTTTTATTCATAATGAAATAAGTCGAATAAAATCTGTATTACCTTTGGCTAAGGTTAGATAATTATTCAATGTTCCCTATTACAATAGATGCTCAGGTCGGTCAGTAAATATGACATCAAAACAGACACTATTCAATCCAGAGAATCAGTAACCATTCTCTTTTTTACAATTTTTCTTTCATGTCTTTGACTAGTGCTTCAAAAGTAAGATCTTTGAAACGTAATAGTGAACCACCGGAATCATCCACATCAACAGGATTAATGAATGGAAATGAAGAGAATGTGCGACGACATTCACGTACAAGAAAACAATCGGACTGTTTATTACCTAATGATAATCATTTATCGAATCATAATCCCAATACATCAAATCAATTACGATCGAATCCTGGTGTTTTGGGTCCAGCTGCTGATTTAACCTCATGGGATGTAACCAATCGTCTTAATAATTCTGATTCATTTTTGTTAGCATTACGTGCAGCTTGGGCATCGAATTCTTTGCAGAATTCTAACTTTTTATTACGTAATTCTATTGGACAAAATAATTTAACATCGACTAATGAAAACAATCGTGGTTTATTACCAATTCCTAATCAAACTGTACACTTGACCAATTTAATGTCACAACAAAAAGTACCTAATGGAATTTTACATAGTCAAAATCCTGTTCAACATAGTTTAGTAAATGGACCGACTGCTGTAGCCGCAGCTGCGGCAGCAGCTCAAGCTGTTACCGCTTTATTGCCTTTTTCTAGACCAATTGACAATTATTCATTATCACAAGCCCTTATGCATGCACCTGTTGCACCGACAATGATTGGTCCAAGTGAGTCATAATTTGTTTTTGTTTTCAACTACTTTATTGATTCAATAATCATTGAGGTTTAATCATCATAACTGTAAATGTTATTGCTGTTTGTTTGCATTATTTTGTAAAACAAAATTAATATCTCGACATTTATACAATTGATCTGTTTAATGCCGTTTACATAGACGAGAATAATAATAATAAAGCATAAAATTATCGGTTAGTATAGACGAAACAAAACTAAAAGCCTGTAAATTAAAGGCGTACAATGTATGTACATCAAAATTAATCGACCAGACATCATATTTTAACTGATAGACAAAATCTAATTATAGCATAGATGAATCATCAAACATTCCAGTTTATCCACAAACATTTATTATAATGTCTAGCGTTGAATGCCAAAATAAAATAAAATAAATGAATTTTACATTTATCTCTCTGAGTCATATAATGGGGAAATTTTCTATTTATCAAAATGCTTGAATAATTTATATATATATATATATATATATAAATCTTTGGAGAGAGAAAAATGTAACGTTTCAGATAAATTATTTTCCTGTAAGGTTACCAAAGTAGATAATCAATCAAATTGCCAATATGAACGCACTATTTGAATTTTTCTGCGAAGTATTCAGCATATTATACCGGTATGGTGTTTACGATATTTGAAAAATATGAGTATATTTAACAACAGAATTTCATTGAATGACTCTATCTTTTTCTAAATTGAAATATAAGTGAAACCGATAGATAAGACTTCATTATATTGCTTGGAATTATGTCAATTATTCACATTTTTCATCATGGATTTTCGTCATGGATTAATACCACACCATAGCTATCATTAAAAATTGTGGTATAATAAAAAGTTATTTCGTTCTACACTTATAGACCACTTGATAAAGATGGGGCACAAGACTTGCTGGCAACACTATCAACAAGTTACTTCAGATTACTGAGTTAAAACTAACGATCTACGTTTCAGACTACAATCAGTTCATGACACAGTTCGATAATAGTTCAAATGAAATGGAGTTTTTTTTGATAAACAGATGTAAAAAAAAACATAACACTATGTTACATGATGAAAACTGTATACTGGGATTTAACTATCAATAATGTTGCTTATGATTTTAAAGGCACTATTTGATTATAGAAAACGAAAATGCGTTAAGGAAAGAAGAAATTAAATTAGGACAATCAGTAAAACGTGTCATATAAAAATTATCAAGAAATTTAAACGAGTTTAAATGCTTTCTAAATGATTGTTCACTGAATAATGACCAATATTATGTATTTCAAGCATTTATGTGGGTTAATCTGATTCCGTTGAACAAACTGCAATATAAAAAATACTCTAAGTGACCATATGTTGATCGCATTATGTTGAGATGTAAGATCGTGGTTGTAAATAGTCCACAGAAATCCTTGGACCTTCCGGATGTTTACCAAATAGTATGAAACTTAAATCCAAAATTTTCTTGTAAACTACCTTCTGTCAACACACATTGTATTTCAAATTTGAATAATCAGTAATAGTTCTTCCTTAAACAAAAAAAAATTAAAATTGACTGAACACATTCATGATCATCATAATCATAACCTTGACCTCATTATTACTGTCCTATTTTGTTTTATCCATTTCATTCTGTGTAACAAACGACCACAAAATTTTTTTTTACTTTATCACTTAAAAGTACAAATACTTGAAAGTGTAATTATCTCATAAATTTGAAAAAAAGAAGTTTCTACATTAAAATAATATTCATTGACAAATCAAGTTAAGATAGGAAAGAAAATTGGTAGCTCAGATGAATGACATTGCTGAATGTCCAGTAACAAAACTAAGTGTCAATGCTTTGGGATTTCTTCGTAGTCTGTAATCATGACGATCCTGTAGAAGGAACAGCCTCTGAATCTGTGAATATCCTAACTTTTATTTGACTTTATTCAGTCAAAATTAACTAAAGTTGGTCACATGTTCAATGAACAATTATTATTTCCTATTTTGTATTTTCGGTCACCATTGCGTTCTATTCGTGAGTATCAAATACTGAAGTTTGATATTTCATTAGATATTTATTTCCAAACATTTAATGTTATACATAACTGTGAACATTCTCGCGTAGCATAGAACAACATAATCGAAGCAACAGTTAGTTAATTAAGCAATGACCATGATTGTAAAATATAATCTAACAATTGAACATTGAAACTGTAATCAAAAATCTTCATTGCCAAATTTTAATTTTTAAATTATTTAACTCATTTTCTTCATGTTTTAATGCTTTCACTTTCTACTTCATCATTCCAGTGATTCAACCAGCTTCCAATTGGACTGCAAGTCCATTAATATCCAACATTTACCAATCCATATAACACATTCATGAGAAAGTTTGGGGACAAAAAAAAGGAATGTGAAATTTCTATAAAAAATTTTCATGATAAGTTATTGTTATTTTTTTTTAATCTTCTAACAATTCAGAGAGTTTTTTTTCTAAAAAAAAATGCAAACAAACAAATAAACATTTATTTCTTTAGAAAACAAAAACAACAGTACAGAACCTATTTCCACATATTACATCATAGATGCTACAATGAATAGGATTAGTAGTAAAAAGAAAAATTATTTCAATCAACTTGATCAAAAAACAATATACACATCAGTTTAGTTAGGCGTGTGCGTGTATGATTATGTATGTGTATGTTTAAGTTTTGCTTGTGAATAATAAGTTTGCCATGCCACATACTACTACTACTACTACTACTACTAGTATGTCGTTTATAGTGAATTGACTAAAAAACTGTTACATTTGATGACATGTTAATATCTCATTTGATTTGATTTGACTTGAAGAATATTTTTTTGTCAGTGATAATTTGTTTGTTTGTTTGATTTCTTTCCACACACAAATATTTTCCATTAGCATTTAACAATATATACAGTTGTATTGTATGTATTCATTCACCTTGGCATTTTCTTAGGTGAATTATTGTTGTTGTTGATGTTGTTGTTGTTGTTCCTACTCTCTTTACTTTTCCATCATACACTTGTACTCATTCACTTTGTAACAGAAGGTGACAGAAAGCAGAAGAAAAACTTATTTTAATAATAATAATAATAATAATAATAATAATACATTAAGAAATGTTGTGAACAAAAAAACTGTTGAAATTTTTTTTCTGTGTATTATTTTGTTGAAAATAGTCCATATATTACTTACACATATATGTGTAGTGATAAATACATATATACATATATTTTTATTCAATATGTAATTACTTCAATAATAATACATGTGGTGTTACTTTGATATATAAATATTGTTTAGTTGATTTGCTTTTCAACAGTTCATTTCTTTCTGGGTTTTTTTCTATGTTGAAAGAGATATTTTGAAAAAAATAAAACCAATTGATCTGACCCTAATTGAGAAAGATTTCACAATGTTACCAATGACACTTTCCTACTGTCTTTGTTCTTTCAACAAAAAAAAAACATTTATTTCTGGACGTGAAATTTTATTGAATTGAAAGAAGTTTCTTCTCGATCGATCGATCGATATATGTGTGTGTGTGTGCGTGTACGTGAACTTACATGTTTATACACACCGTTGTGTGTGTATGTATGATTTGTATGATTTATAATACAATCTGCTTAAGCCAATTGTTTTAAAAAATATAGGACATTTCATAAAGAAGTTTTATTAGTTCATTGTTGTTCAATGGTCAATAATTTTTAATTGTTCAAGCTGATTGCAAAACAATCTAGGCAAAAACTAATAAAATCTTTATTTTATGCTTCATTAATTTCATTGAATCATTTGTTGTTGTTTGTTTTTTTGTTGTTGACTGCTTTCTTCTTCTTCTCCTTCTTCTTCCTGTTTCATTTTAACCTCCTTTTTTTTCCGTTTTGTTCAAGTGAAAGCAAAGAAAGATTGTGTTTATTTGCTTGAATCATTTTTCCCCTCCCCTCCAAAAAACATACTTGTGCTTTCAAATAAAAATAAACGACTGACAGTGAATTAATTGTATGAAAGCAATACAATAATGCAAGTAAATTTTTCAATGTTCAATACTGTAATATATTCTGCAATATAATTTGTTTGTTTAAATGTCTACATTGAAATAGTTGTACTTTTCAATAAATAGCATGATACGTAATAGTTTTTAATCAGAAATAATAGTGTACTATGAAATTATCATTAGTAGATTTACATAGAAATTAATCATCAATCTATATTGTAATATGCTCGTCTTCTCAATTATTTTTTCCCCGTTTTTTTGTTTAGTGCAAAATGATAATTGCACACATTGAAATTGCAGTTAGCAAAATCTTCATCAGTTTCTTCTTGTTTTGTTTTAACTGGTTGCTTAGATGTACCTTTTGAATAGAAGAAGCGTGTATGCATGTGTGTTTGTGCGCTGGCTTGTGGATAGTATGTAATGTCTATGTGTGTGTGTGTGTTGCATTAGAAATACTAGAATACATTTGCTTTATCTATTATGTATAAATAGTGTACTGACTTCCGGATTATCCACCTGCAATTGTAACATTTTTCAATGAAACAATGTGTATGTACGTGAACGAGTTCTTGTGCGTGAGATTAGATGAATTTAATAACAAGACAAATCAATAATCACTGTGACATAAAAAAACAAAACAATTAAACTATTGAACACATCATTTGAGTATCATTATTTTTTTTCTCTCTTTCAGTTATTCACTAAATTCTAATAAATATTAAATTAAAAAAAATAAATCAATAAACAATTTTATTTGTAATTTTACGTTTTGTCTTTGTGCAAAAAAATATAATTTTCAATGCTAAATCAAATTGATCTTTAACTTGATTTATAAAGGAAGAAGGGGAATGAACTTAACGTAGAGTTGTATGTAGATTTCGATTGAATAAAATGTCTATGAGTAAATTAGTGTTGGGGATGTTAGATCCCCAGACCTCGCTTGATAAATATCTTTATTTTGGATTTATTTCATGGACCGATCAGTTGACCTTGAGGTCACATTTCCCACCAGGAAAATCCTTCGCTGTGATTAGTTACTGTGTCATTTTAGTGTGCTGTTTTTGTGACTGTCGCAAGGACGTCTCTATAGAGTATAAATAAACGCAATTTGAGTGCTCGCATTCATTGTGTGCTGGCTGGGTGTTTGTAGAATACAATGTCTACGCTATATCAAGACTTCTCGCTGATACAATTCGGTCAAGGGATCTTAGTAGCCTACATGGACGCTGGTTCATTGTTTTGTTTTCGTTATTCGACTAAGGTGAACTCTTAATAGTTGAAGCATACCTAGAGACGAGCGTAACAATTATTGATGTAATTAACCGTCAAGATCAAATAGAATACTCATTTTATTTTCCAATACAAATTTATGGTAAGCTAAAGCACCACTGGACGCCCGACTGGCGCTGAATAACTCTTCCCTTTCACTATAGTATTCATGAACACAGAGGACATCGAAACCAAGAGTATGATTTCTTGAGACTACTGTTTCACATTAACCAGAATAATATATTCTATAGTATGATCCTATTCTAATCTTTCATCCGACTTGATTAGCTACACAGATCCATAAAGAAACGTGATATATATATATATATATATAATGTACACTGAGGATCTAAAAAAATGATTGATTTAATGCCTCCTCAGAAATACACGAATGTGACAGGAATTCAATCGTTCAACATAACCTACATTTGACTATTCATTTGTGGTAATCAATACAATTTAAACACTATATTCTTTGTTTGTATGGGTTTGCACTGGTTTGTAGTTGATGTCAAGCGCTTTCTTTAAACTTACCTCTGAGAAAATAAATTTTTATAAATTATAAATGGTTTTGAAAATATTAATAGTCTACAGTAACCAAACACATTAGTTATAAATTAAATGCTGACGACAATAATAATAGTCATGGTATTTATTTTGAATTATCGATTGGTTTTTTGATGAAAAGCATCACATTCGACATTTACACTTTATTATTCTTCTGTTATACTTTAATCGATTATTGTGATATAAATCAGGCTTAGGAAAATAAGACTAACTTAAAGCAGTTTTATAGACCAACTAACAGATAGAGATGATTTAATCGTATGAATAAAGGGACTGTGCCATACTTTACGAATATTTTTGAATTAATCAATAGACCACTCTTAACGATTAGAATTGTTTATATGACTGCCAATTAATTGTATTAAGAAATAATTCTTGAGAATGAAATGTTTATTTGACTAAGTCATTTACATAAATATATAGCTGTTTGGCGAAAACTATTTTCAAGTAGTAAACAAGAGTGTTTTGATTATTCAATGATGTATTTCATTTTTGAAATTCTGCTATTTCATATGCTTTCAAAGCACGTCATTTATCAAGCTTTACTAGCTGCCTGATAGAATATCTGGGTTATCCGTTTCTTAGCACCAAAAAATATAACAATAAGTTACCTCTTCCTGTTTGTTTTACCACTTCATTTAAGTTTATTAACTGCATAATCTATTGAGGAGCGTAGATGAAACGTTTACAGGCTATCGCTTCACAAGGTACGAATTAGTATAATCCGAAGTATGTCAATGGTTGGCAGTCTGAAGAGACTTGTATTCCTGAACTGATTATTTTTAACCGCAGTTCAATGACTGTTTTGTAAAGGAAACTTGTTGAAATAGTCCGTGCTGGGAATTCCATACTGTATTAACATATAACATTGAACAAAACCTTTTTTATCGTTATTATTGTCATGATAGATTTAATTTGTGATATTAATCAATAAAAATTATACTTCAGTTGACCTACTCAATGATTGTGTAATCAAAAGAATCCAAGTATTTACTCTTTGACATGCTGTCATATTTAGATGAATGGAGATAAATAAAATGAATTTGTTTTATTTCACTGTTTATCATCAGCTGCTTAAAACTGAAACATAATAGTATTATTACTTCAGCCTTTGGTTAGTTTGTATTTAGCTAGGAAGTACATTGTAGGTTGAAAGTTTCTGTGGAGTAGCGTATGAGGTTATTTGGAAGAAGGAAGAACAAGAGAAAAAGGTGGGCCGACGACTCAGCAAGCACATAGAATGCGCTTACATTTGATAGAAAAATCAATAGACAGCAAGCAGAAATAAAGAGTCGAAAGTAGAAGTTGTTAGAGTAATGTTTCGAATGGCTCATATTCATTGTACTCTTCAGTGAAAATTCGTGAAAAGATTAATATTGATGAAGTAACTATAAGCGATGTTTATGTGTTAAACACTTGAATATAAAATCTAAGAGCAAAGAAACAAAATTATTCCTATACCAGTCATAAAATCCTAGAAGCAAAATAAAATCAACTTGAATACCATTCAACAATGAAACGAGGACTAAAAATGAAAGACATAAAAAGAAATAAAGCAGTTACATGTCAAACAATCATGAATAAAGTTACCATGATTAGGCAAAATTTATGATTGAGTATTTTTGAACTCATAAATTTTGTTTTAATGACTATTGTTTCAATAAAATCTTTAGTCAATTTGATATTCTTCGTTCGTTAGTTATCGCGAACGACTTTTACACGCTAACACCATGACCATTGTTAAGCAGATGGCTTGAAGTAATTCTTATGATAACGTTATTTCCTTATAGTCTAAGTTTCTGTGGAATGTATTCCTAGACATTAGTAATTATAATAAAAAGAGTAATTCATGTATGAGTTTGACTTCCCAGAACATTAAACATGACAATTAAAATGATAAAAATGGAGGTTATCTCAAACAACGATCACATGATTAAATGATATATATAAATGTTATCTCATCGATAAAATAACCTAAAGGCATGTATAGTTTTACGTGTAACTTCCCTCATGCATCACATATCCATTAAGCTACAAAATGATATTCATGTAAAAGAAAATGAAATAGTCTGTAAAATAGTTAAAAATTATTACATATTTCATGTTTTCAGCCAGTTTAAAAAGCTGAATTATTATCAAACAGACCAAATAATCATTGAAGGATTGAATTTATACGGAGGAACAATGCCTGATTGCCTGGTTAATTTCAAAAACTTTTAAACAGTCATGTTTTACAATTTTAGACGAACAAAATTAATTACTCGTTTCTTCG